ATGGACTGCTACAGAAGAGTAGAAAGATGTTTGGGAATGTTTCATTCGCTTTTGTTATACTTTAAAACTAAATCTGCTGAGGTAAAACAAATTATGTTTATGGATAAGCACCAGCAAAACATACTCAAGGACTTACTGAGGGGGAAAAAAAACGTGATTTAATGTCCTCAACCACTTCAAGTCACCCCAATTACTAAAACAGAATGTGTTATATATCAACTCAATATTCCAGGACCGTTACCTGGACTAGCGAGGCGAGAGAGGGCTTGATGGGTCCTAAAGAACCGCACGCATGGTGTCTTCACCGTCCGGACACTCTTAGCACAGGCCAGCCCAGAGAACAGGGGGCTGGAACAGCTGGTGGCAACCACGCGCAGAAGACTCGCCATCGGAGACGCAAGGAGGAGCTGTGCAGTCGGAACGACCCTCCTCCTACATGTGAGGGAGAGAGATAGAGAGAGGGAAGAAGAAAAGTAAGCCGGTTGACCTATCCCATAATGCTCCACTCTGCCCCAGTCACTGCAGCTCAGATGTTTACACACCTCCAAGGTAACACACATATGCTCACAGTTCACACAAGTGTGTGACTGTTAACTGGGCATTGAGTCACGAGGTCCTCACACTTTTACAATTTTTTTAAGAAATTAACACTTTTATTCAGCAAAGATGCATTAGATTTAACAAATTACAGTAAATAAAAATGCGTCAGTTTCTACAAAAAATATCAAGAAGCTTATTATAATCCTACACTGATAAATAAGTAATGTTTCTAGATATGTGAATTTTAGAACATTTTAATCAAAAAAAATTTTTCAAAATTAATTTTGTTTAAAAGAAATCATCATTTTATTACACACAAATTATTATAATTTTATGGCATCTACTAAACAACAATTGATCTCAAACTGGCATTTAATGGCATTTCAGGCTTTATTTTGTACACCATTTTCTTTTAAGTAGCTAATAAAAATAATATTTTGTTTTTATAGCGTTTCTTAATTATTCTTAATTATTCTCCATATTATCTAAAGCCTCTAAAGAACTTCACGGCTCTTTGCAAGTCTATTTGTACCGACACAAAAAGGATCAATTAATCCACATGGTGAATCAGTCAAGGTCACACTAAGGCAAACACTGAAATGTGTAGAAGTGTATTTGTTTAGCTAAGAACTATCGGATATGAAGGTGATAAGGGTTTTGCTGAGTGGGACAGTGCAAGTCACACAGTAGCAGGAGGCCTTGCAGGTCCTTTATTGTCACCATAAACACTGTCTGCAAGAGTTGTCTCCAGAATATACCAAAAGAATAATTACGGAACGTCATAAAAACAAAGACGTCTTTGTAGCTTTTGATCAATTTAAATACATTTCAAAGAATCTTGTTGTTTTGTAATATTGAATAATACTATTCTATTAACATGTTTTAAACATCATAATGACACTGCAGGATTTTTACGGTTAAATACTTTTAAAGGGGTCATATGATGCAATTTCATTTTTTCCTTTCTCTTTGGAGTGTTACAAGCTCTTGGTGCATAAAGAAGATCTGTAAAGTTGCAAAGACTAAAGTCTGAAATAACGGTGTTTTTCCTTGTGCCTAGAGTTTGTTATTGGGCAACGCAAAAGTCATTCATTCAAACAGCTCAATGGCACAAGCCACGCAGAATTTCCGCACATATTTAGAAACACATTTTAATTCATAGAATGCGGCCCAAGCACAGCAGTCCTATTCATTCAAATCATCCGTTTGCATGGCTTATTTTCGGAAGGGCAATGCGGCTTCGGGGTCGGTGAGCCGACAGTGAATACAATGTAAATACTGACATTGTGGTCAAGACTTCTCAGGTAGAAGTGATACAGACATTTGATAGGTTTATTTTATGTCAGACAAATACTTTATCAAACATATCTAATAGGTCTCAGAACAAAGTGGGTCTTACAAATAGGCAAGGGACACCCAAAAGGTTGTGTATTCATGGAATGTGCAAGAAATACAGAGTTTCCATTTATACACCAGTAGACGTCTGTGTAATTTCTCTCTTTTATTTTTTTAGATCCATCCCACACATGAAAGCAGTGCAGTAGTTATACATGTATGAGGGCGTGGGAAACAATCAAATCACCGATTTAATTAAATGTGTGCAGACAGACTCTATTGGATTATCGTGCCAAATCTAGATCCAGCACCACGTCAGCGGACCAGAGGAATTACATAGGTCAGATGTGGGGCACCGTGCTTTAACTTTATAAACTACAAGGTTCAGACAATTATATTATATTTAACATATACGATGAGGGGGGGATTGGCATCAGAAATAACGGTGTTTTTCCTTGTGCCTAGAGTTTGTTATTGGGCAATGCAAAAGTCATTCATTCAAACAGCTCAATGGCACAAGCCACGCAGAATTTCCGCATATATTTAGAAACACATTTTAATTCATAGAATGCGGCCCAAGCACAGCAGTCCTATTCATTCAAATCATCCGTTTGCATGGCTTATTTTCGGAAGGGCAATGCGGCTTCGGGGTCGGTGAGCCGACAGAAGGCGGGCACAAGCGCTCCTTCCCCCTTCATTCTAACGTTAGCTTGTTAGCCAAGCAGAAACAATAACTGCAGGCTGTCGTTTGCATTTAGAGATCAAAGCAATACATGCCCAAATGCATTTCTTGCGATCAAATGACAAGGTGGAGGAGATCGATAATGAATTTGAAATTCTCACCGAGTCGAGTCAGAGCATCAATGAGCGACCTTTGAAAGCGGGGACGCACAGCTTACAGCCGCCACCCGGAAGCACTCGCGCTCACCTCTATCTGCGCCGTTCCTGTGCTTTCATTCCACCGTCAATCAACGCATGTAAATCAGTCATGTGCTGTGGGCGTTTGTTATCGAGATCTAACTTCTTCTTCTTCTTCTTTGACGTTTTATGGCGGTTGGCAAACCAGCTTTAGGTGCATTTACCGCCACCTACTAGGATGGAGTGTGGAGCTTTGACGTTGAAGGAAAAAAAAAATAATAATAATAACAACAACAACAAAAATTAGTAGTGATTCTTTAAATCCTGTTTATTAACTCTGTATCTTTGAGATACTTAAATAATATGTGAAACATTTCTATAGTCACATCTTTATCCTTTGTGTATCATTTACATGTTATTAAAATATGTTCAACTGTTTCAGGAAGATCACATTTAAAGATTTTTTGATTCCAGAACATAATTCAATCTTGCCACTACCATACGTTCCATTAGTTTACAATCGAGATCTAACAGACACTAGTTTATCTTTTGAATAGACACAATCTAGGTATAAAACACGATTTCGAACAGAATTTTAACGAAAAACAAAGTTTGTGTCAGACATCAGATTGTGTTGGGATTGTGTTGCCTTTGATTCAGGGGAGATACAAAACTGGGATAAACTTTGATGTAATGGGAGTTGTAAAATTGTATCAAGGTAACCATATTTACCAACAAAATACCATAGTTACCACAGTTATTATTTGACCGTGAATAAATTAAAATGTTTTCGGTTTCAAACATTTTTGACTAGTTTTTTAATTTCCGATTTTAATGTAGCCTATATTTACATTTAATTTTATTTATTTCAATGCTGACCAAGTTTTTTTTTTTTTTTTTGTAGTAGTAACAAATACTGCAGTATGGTATTTTGACCGAAACTATAAATATCTGCGATGAAATATTTAACAATTAAGAAATAACAAGTCGCAACTATCAATCAGAATAAACGATGGTATATTTTGGGGTAAGTAAATAAATAAAGCAAGCCACCGATAAGTTAAATGTAAACTACTTTATTAAAAATAAAATACTTATATCAATACATATTTCCTTTATTTATTTTATTACTATTTTATTATTATTTTATTTTATTTATAATTCGGTTATTAATATTTAACCGAAATCTCTGATGTGATGGCAATTTTTTGGACTTACTGAGATTCCACGTCAAGCAGAGGGCGGTAGTAGACAAGGACAATACTTCAACACTGAACTCAAGAAAATAAAAATAAAACTTTTGAGACTTTTGAGACTTTTGAGAAAGGAGCTTCGGATGACTAGGCTCTTGATTTTCTGCTGCAATGTACACCATGCAATTACAATTCTACACGCAGTCTGTTCACAAGCAACAGGCTATAAAGGGCTCCAAAGTCCAAACCACACAATTTTTGACATGATAAAAGTTTTTAGCCTGATAAATTCTTGCTATCTTTAACCTCTAGAAAATGGGTGAAACTCATGGTAGTTAACAGCATAGCAATACAAATAATAAACACTTGGTCATAAAAAATGAAAACAATTCAACAAGTAGCCTAACTCTGATATATGTTTTAAAAAATCCTATAAAGTACATGTAAAAAAAAAAAAAAAAAGATCTAATTAAACAACCTTTTGCATTGAATAGACCGTTTCCATATGTTCTATCAGTACTGGCTGGTGCTGTTTGAAGTTTCCCCTGTGTTTCTCATGTGTTTCTGTTCAACTAAATCCATTTGTGGAATGTCTGTGTACCATGACTGTTAACCATTAACTTCCACCCAGATTGCTACAGCCACTTCTCACAATTCTTCTCACACCTGGAAAAAAATTTAAGCTTTGCACTATAGGACAAATAAAAATCCAATGCATTAATTAAAAGAAGGCTTTTGTATGTAGATTAAGATTGTTTATGTAAAAAAGTTGTTTTAAAGGGACATGTTTAACATTTTATTTCATGTTTGGATCACACATAATATCTTATTTTTCAGTCAGTCTGAGCAATAATAACTTTGCTATCTTCAGTTTATATCTAAAAAATGTAAGCTTAACACTTTCAACCTTTTCTTTCACTTCCTAGCTGTTAACATCACGTGTGTTGGACATGCATTTCTCTAAGTAAATGTCTTTCTAATTTCAGTGTACTAATAAGAAACCAAATTTACAGTGTCACATCGCCTAAACTTTATTTAGTTTGATACCAAAACAAGTATAGATTTGCATGTAAGTTAGCCTCACAACAAGAAATACAGTAAGATTTTTGGAGTTCTGGTCCTAATCATCATAGTTTTGATGTCTGTTTTGCAGATGCATCGAGAGTGAACAATGAAGACTGGTTTGCCTTTGTGAATTATTATTAAAATGGTCTCTTACTCTTATTCAAACTGCCATATCGAAAACATACTAAAACTGTCAAGATACACTCTGCAATAAGATTGTCCACTAAAGCAATAGCCAAAGTAAATGAAATGTTGACAACTAAGATCAAGTCACAGTGAAGTTGTAAAGGGGTTGGGTTTCATCCTGCCCTTTCATTCTTCTCCTACAACAGCTCATCCTCCATGCAGACACAAAGTTATGAGGCACAAGAAGCTGCTCCACATGCCGCACAGCTCACCATTGCTTTGAAGCGCAGTTATTCCAAGAGTTTCCTGTAACAAGGTCAAACTCTAATGTGAACCAGAAGCTGCTATTTCTCTCTCTACCTCCTTACTTTGTAGGTTAGTGGAGAGTGTGAAGTCTCGATATGTCTCGTCTGTGGATCTTCCTGCTTCTGTTGGCACACTGGATCAACAGCCCGGTGCTTTCTGCAAAAGGAGGCAAGAAAAAACACCAAGTGAAGAATCAAAGTGGCCCTGCAACTCCCAAAGAGGACGTTGGGTCAGATGGAGCTCCCGAGAGTCCATCGGAGTCTGACTTCTTGGCTGATTTTGCCGGGAAACACCGCCTGTGGGTGATCACCGCACCATTGCACAGTGACAACTATCTGCGTATGATGGAGAAGCAGATCCAGGAGTCTGAAGGACTGAACTGTCGCTTGGCAGAGAGAGACACGCTCATCGTCACTATTATTCAGAACGCCATGATGGAAGGCAAAATCCAACGTACGACCTTGCAAGGAGAAGCCACTGTGGAGGTTATGGACTCTGAAATGGTAAGTAAACTTCTCCATTACCTTGAGCTGGAGGACCATACCTTCTCCATGCTGATTCTGAAGAAGAACATGAGGGTTAGTGAGAGATTTCCTTACCCGGTTCGCGTTGAGGCCATTCTTGAGGTCATCGACCAGCTGCCTGTGCGAAAGTTGGAGAAGGTCGCAAGAAAGGGGTTACCAGTGAAATGCAAGATCACAAAGAAGAGGTTAGTGGTGAAGAAACAGGGTTCTGGCAAGCGTAGGACCTTCAGTCCACAGAAGCATGCGAATACCACGTCCATCTTCCTGACACAGAAGACACGTCTTGACAAAAAGGCAACTTTGAGAAACAAAGTACAAGATATTTTGAGTGGGCGTTCACGATTCGTCATCCGTAAAACGACAGGCAGCTCAGGCAACAGCAAACCATCAGCTAAAGCAGGTTCAAAATCCGAATCTAGTGGAAATGAGAGGCTGAAGCACGATGACCAGAAGAAAACTCCAGATAGTGACAGACACCCAGAGTCAGAAACAGAAGTGAAAAAAGCTTCGGAAGCAGATAAAACACATGTTGGGGCAAAATTACATTTTGACACCCTCAACGAGGGGTTCAAAGGAGAGCAAACCGTTGACCATTCAAGCTCCAAAAAGAAAGGCAAAGGAAAGGATGGCAAGAAGAAAAAGGGGAAAGGAGGGAGGAGGAAGTCACAACGAGAAGCAGATGATAAGGAAAAGGCAGCTCTTAAAGAATTCATGCAAAACCTCAAAGGGAGAAGAAGACTTCTTGTGAGTTATTGATTGTTAAGAAGATCCATATTTGTAGATCTCCTGGGAAGAGTCTTATCTGATTATGTTTTTTGTTGTTTTGTGTGGCATAGGTGATTTCATCCCCAAGTGATGTCTCAAGTCAGTATATCAAACAGAGAGATGATAATGAGCTACGTAGCTGCGAGTTTTCCCAAAGAAAGGTCTCAGTGCTGTCCATCATGGGTTCAGAACGTAATCCTACACTACACATTCAACACTACCAACAAGGTAATGTATAAACACCTTTTTGCACATTGTACATAAAATAAACCACTTGTGAACGTATTTATGAAGCTTATTAGGGCTGTGTTGATGCGGAGTTCACTCAAAAGAGCCATTTGTTCATGAATTGAACCACTTGTCACGTTGTATGTTATGGATTCACTTAAAAGAATCAGCTCAAAATAATCATTTGTTTGTTAATCAAACTACACTGGTTTTGCTGTATGTTTTTCATTCACTAAAAAGAACCAGCCCTTTCGAGAATCATTTGTTCATGATTTGAACCAGTCTTGTCGATGTATGTTTTTGATTCCCTTAAAAGATCCGGCTCTCAAGAGCCATTTGTTTGTGATTGAGTCATATTTGTTTTGCTGTGTAGTTAATAACATTTAAATGAAGTACATTCAGATCGTTCTAGCTTATGCATTAGTGTTGGGCTTACTGTGTCGCACAATTGAATGTAAAAACGCCTGTTGCTTCTTTCGAAACAGATTCCGAGTCTCCACAAGCATCCCTGCCAGAAAAGTTCAGAAACCCTGAGTTAATCAGCGAGATCCGCAGAGAATATGGGCTTCTCAAAAACTTCTCAATGGTGTTGACTGACTATGACCTGAGGCCTAACGTAAGAACACTTATTTTCTCCTAATTCACAGTGACTTTGAAAGACTACCGAATCAAAGGCATACTTCATGTGGTTTTAGCTTAACAGGGTTTTCAACAAGCCAACGGCTCCTTCCGATTTACTGGATTACATTGACAACTTTCCATCACGTCGGTCTGAGAAGGAAGAGGAGAGAAAACTTCCGTCACCCTGCTCTAAAGCAGAAATGAACAATCAAGAGGAGAACTCGCTTCTGAGGTAAACACCTTGAGTTTCCCCAATGCTTTAAGCTATGATTAATAATCATTCCAATTGTTCTGATTATCATATGTGAATTCTCAGGTTTATGTCCAAACGAAGACTTCTAATCATCTCAGCACCTACTGTAGATGACTACTCATTCCATCAGCAGCTTCAGGCGCTTAATGGACAGGAGTGTCCACTGGGTACTGTATGCTTCATGTTCTCTGAGCTTTTGTGGATGTCTTCAAAAATTATCAAATTAAGAGTGATACACTCTTAAGAAATAAAGGGTCTTTCAATGGGAATCAGTGGTTTCATGAAGAAACTTTAAATTTCCATAGCAAAAAAAGGTTATTTTATAGTGGAAAAGGGTTCTTTAGATTATTAAAATGTTCTTTTGGGAACTCAAAATGGTCCTTCTATTGAACCATCACTGAGAAAACCCCTTTTTGGAACCTTTATTTTTTTCTTTAAAGAGTAAATGATATATTATACATATGGCAGCCTAACTTAAAATTGAATCCACATGGACAGGTATTCGTCATTTTGCCTTGTTGAAGATTGTGGGTACTGGATCGACAGCTTCAGGAACAGTGGAGTTTTTTCCATTGAATGGTGAGATTTTAAATCTCATTTCTTCCTCATTCATCATTTCTTGCAAGTAACATCAAATATTATAGAATGGCTATGGAATATTTATCATAACCTACAGGGAAAAGTCAACCCGAGAAGGAGACACTTTCACAGGATGTGGTGGAGAGTCTCAGAAATCAGCTGAAGATAAACCGTGACTACTTCAGCATGCTGGTGGTGGGTAAGGATGGAGATGTAAAGGCCTGGTTCCCATCTCCAATGTGGTCCCTGGGAAGCATCTATGACCTTGTGGACTCTATGGAATTGCGACAACAGGAACAGAAACTGCAACAAACTCTTGGAATTCACTGTCCAGATGAGAATACTGCTACTTACCATAGTTACACAGAAGAGACGGAGGACAGCTACTTGTACCACAGATCTGAGGACTAAAAGTCATCACAACAAAGACATTAGACATGCATATTGTGTACATGGCATGCATTTGTCAACCCCATATCATGTGATGCAAAACTTTACCTCTAGGACAGCTATCTTACCTGTTGTTTGCTGTGTCCTGTAAAATTTCACTTCCCTGCACTTGGTTGCACATGCTACGATGCTTAATTATAGCTAAAAGACATTGCGTGCAATTCCTGTTTTTAAAAGCTGTTGACATTAAAGGCTAGATTTCTAAGCTGTAGAAAATGTCTGAGTGTCTTTATGAGTATTGAGTTACACTACTGTTGGGAATTGGTAAGATTTTTTTGTAGTGCTGGGCAACGATTAATCGCAAATAATCACATCCAAAATAAGTTTGTTTATATATGCGAGTGTGCTGTGTATATTTATTATGTATATATAAATACACAGTATAGATTTGAAAAATATTTACATATACATATGAAACATTTTTCTTAATACCGGTACATAATATACACGTATACATAAACACAGTACACACATATATTATGTAAACAAAAACGTATTTCGGATGGATTAATCACTAACACTAATTTGAAAACTTTTTCCCCCGTGATGGAAAAGATTATTTTTTAAGCAGCAATTATGCTTTTACAATTATCTCTCATTTTCATTCTAGTATGTTGATTTGGTGCTCAAGAAATTCAAAAACAGTTGTGCTGCGTAATATTTAAAACTGCATACATTGTTTTCAGGATTATTTGATGAATGGAAAGAACAGCATTTATTTGAAATAGAATTCTTTTGTAACACTATCAATGCATTTGTCACTTTTGGATTCATTTAATGCATTCTTGCTACATAAAAGTATTAATTTCTTTGAAAATGTTTTGCTTACCTGAAGTTTTTTAAATGTTCTATATATCTCTCTATAGATCTATATAGATATATATATTTTCCTCCTAATATTACTCCAGTCAACAATGAGTGTTCAGAGAAGAAAAAAAGTCAAAATGCTTTTTGACTTTTTATGTGTTCTCACTGTATTCAATCATCGCGCTGAGCAGGGAAGCATATGCGAGTATAGGAAGAGCAATTGTGCAGTATGGGACAGGCAAATAGATTTGATGAGGAGAGAGATATGGCTTCCTGTGATGACTGTGCAGCGGTCTGCCAGCAGATAGGGGAAGTAGCCAGGAGTGGGCAGGCACTTACAGTCACAAATAAACTGAAGCAAACAGAAACACATTCATCAGTCCGGTTGTGAGCTAGCAGTCCATGTGAACATCTGGGAGAGGATTTTTTTTGGCTCTACCACCATGGTGAGTGCTCTTTCTGGTTTCATACCTGAATTGTCACATTATTGACTGGTGTCTAACTTTGGCAGTTTTTAGAGATACTGGTTCAGAGAAATGTATGATATGAAATCAGATGGTGAGGGTGCAGGAGTTTTTCTGTGTATAAACTATCTTTCCTAGCACACTGCGTTTATCTGATAGTTTGTCTACTTAACTCGTTACTTTTCACCTAAAATATTTCTGTTGTTCATGCATTTTTCATTATCACAGACTTTGTTTGTTAGATAAATAAGTAAAAGAATACGCAGAAAATAACCTGCTATGAAATTAAATGTTGCTTCTGTTACAAAATTTCACATTTTAAAAAGTTAATCTAGGGAACATTTAGGGGATTTTATCATGTATTTTTGCAAAATTAGATTGTGTAAAAAAAAAATTTAAAAAAAGATTATGAAATGTTTGGTCGGTTTTTGCTTCACCGACACAACTCTGTTCCTCTTCATCAGAACACACACACTTAAGTTTCTCTTGAATTCCTCTACCATCTGGTTTCATTGCTTAGATGCACACTCTTTTAAACCATAGATCGACTGTGCTACAGACCAGTTTAATTTTATATCTGGTTTTGCTCTTTGTGGTCACAGCAAACCATTCAGATTCAGCTCAATAATACCACATTAACAAAGTGAAACTACAGTAGGACACACATTTTAGATTGCATCACAGGCACAATGTGGGATCTCCCAAATCACCTTCTCATGGTAATCTAAGGTTCTCCATATACATCTGAGAAATACACACTGACTATCCATTGGCTCTTTGTTAAGCACGTGTTAACACACGCAAGGTGTCATATTCAAAACACACATTACACAAATCATCTATCCAAAGAATGGAACTATGGACTTTTTGTGAGACTGCTTTGCATGTCGGGAGCCTTGAACAGTACAGCTGTTGTTAGTAGTAACGGCCATAAATAAATAAATAAAAATGTATTCTGTATTTACCTCAGTAGATGTTAGAACAAATGTTTGAATGCATAAAAAAAAAACAATGCTGGAATAACAAGAAATATTCTCTCTGATTAGTTAATATATTACATTAAGTTATTCATTTCAGACATACTACAGCAATTGTGAAAAGACTTCTATTTTGCTATCGGAATAAAGAAAAAAAAATAGTTTTATCTAATACACAATAAACTTTCTAAAAAAAAATCCTACTTCAAAACATATCACAAATCAATATTTCTTAGAGCAATACGAATCAATACAGTTTGCTTTAATAACACTTGCATACAAACATACACTTATTTTGACAAACTGAATTACATTTACCTCTGACCCTGTGTCTTCACTTCATTTGAGCACAGCTGATTTTCTTATGACAGCCGTTTGATGTCAAGTTGCACAGAACCTGAGGCCATGTCTGAGATTACACAGACATGCTCTTTGTGTGAACTCACTGCAATAGATAAACTACCAATCCAAGTGGCATCTGCAAACAAATGATGTCTCAAGGTTTTTGGTGCAAGTTCACACAAGCAGAGTAAATACAGGTGTAGTTCATCACTTCAAATATGGACGTTAAACTAACCTTCACAACTAGAAAATCTAGCAGTCACGGTCACCTTAAATTATTTAACCATGCAAAATTACTTCAGATCCTTCAGAAATTATAGATTATAGGCCTATCTGGTCCCCATCATGGGACACTAGTATACTGATTAATCAATTAATCAGAAAGACCATAATAAAAATAATAGT